GCGAGTTCCTGGAAAGAAGAAAAGTAGAAAACGGTTAGCCTTCGAAGCTAACTCTCACGAAGGTCAGTCCGACGTGATGTGAAAAAGAGGAAAAAGAGAAAAAAAAAATAGGAAAAAGGAGAAAGAAAAATGCTGCTGGTGCCTTCTTCTTCGATGATTTCACAGTCGAATATAAACCCGAGTCCCGAGAGGATGTGGGATGCTTGTTTCCCACGACACCGTTTACTCGATCGCCCGCAATCTTACCTCCTGCTTACCTCCTGCTTACCTCCTGCGCATCTACTACGAATTATGTAATTTCCCTTTTCGTGCTTGGGGTCGTACGCCATAATACATACTACGATTCTACCAAAAGATCTTAACACCTTTTCTCAATTTATTTCTCGTTTCTTTCTTTCCTTTTTTTTCTATTCTTTTATTGGTTTCCCATTAACTAAAGTTACAACGATTATGAAAAATATTCGGATATTATTGTGCGACTATAACATTTTAGCATCGCATTACGGTTGTTTATGAACACTTGAAACTTTTATTTTAATCTGTGATTAGAATTTTATTTGAAATTCTGGCGGTTGGATTCTCAGGAATGCTAATCGCTATGGAATGTGAGACCTTAGCATTCTTGGTATCCCAAGATTCGAGCGAACCTGAAACTTCAGCATTCTCTATACCTTACTCTTTCTCGAATCGTCGAGTAATAGAGTAACACAAAATATAAAATTGTGTTACGAGTTATAAAGAAACCTACGAGTCCTAAGAATGACAAAAATTTCTCTCTTTCTTTCTCTCTCTCTCTCTCTCTCTCTCTCTCTCTCTCTCTCTCTCTCTCTCTTTCTCTCTCTCTCTAATATAACTACATCCAAAAGTAAAGGACAAGTCCTACGAATGTTCTTCGTTGAAACATTCACCAACCCCGTTTCGATGGAGCATAAAAGCCAATTTTCTACTCGGCCCTTCGACCTTCAGCATCTGAACTTTCTCACAAAGCTGCCGGACGAATGGAACTTTCCCATCATCCCGGAGAGAAAAATTTTATAATACTGACCGTATACATACACACATGCGTGCACACGCATAGGTTATGAACAAAATTTATCCAACTCCATACAACGAAATGAAGTGTTCAAACGTTATGCTGACTCCTACTATTTTTACCCTTCAGTACTGTCATTTTATATTATATATTGTTGAAGCACTTATATGATTGATAAATGAACTATCGTTAAAAATAATAATCAAAATGTGAAGCTAAAAATTTAGTCATACTATAGTGTCCGAATATTTTTGGGAACCATCGCATAAATTTACATACATACATACATACATACTAGTAAACGTGTACTTAAACACGTGTGCTTTCGATCTGGTCACGTTTCAAATGCAACAACCCCCGAATCTCTCCTATCATCGTCATCGTCGCTCGTCGTTGACAGAACAGATAGACGAGGGTTCAACGAATCTCATATCAATGTGATCCATGCGGTCTAGTAAATGAAACGGGAGTATCAATAGCTCGTTAAACTTGAAAGAGTAATAGTAGTGGTAGTAGTAGTGGTAGTAATAGTTGTTGGGTGAGAAGAACGACTGTGCGACTATCGCGATTGAAATTTATTTAAAACGGTACGCATGGGGCGTCCTTCGGGGGTTATTCAAGAGAGGGGTAGATTCACCCTTCGTGTGAATCGCGAAAATAGAGCACAGGTTGTACACGAGCCAAGTGCGTGCATCTAACTCCTCTCGAGTCAAGTGCACGCAAGATTAAGTTTCCTCTTCTCGATTTATTATACATAGATGGACCGAAAAAAGTAAAGAAAGGAAATGTGCGTTTCGGTTCGATGCTTACCCACGCCCTTCAAATTTTAATATTTATCGACAATTCTCTATCGTTTCAATAGGGCTAAATGTATCTAATGGGAGAGACGCGATTTTAAAAGTTTGTCAAACTCTTTCTTCTTTAGTTTGCCAACACTTATATACGAGAATCTTTCGTGTCCACTCTACCGTTCGGTATTCCTAATGGCGGACATAAAATTTCGCGTGGGAACGACACGTAATTCGTCGATAAGATAGTATACCACAGTGTAAAAGTTTTCTTTAGTAATGAGTCGTTGGAATAGTCTATTACAGGTGGGGGGTTACGCTCAATGATTTTTATCGTATAGTTGTTGTTGGAACAGATCGAAATTAGCTCGGCCATTGTCTCGGTTAACATTATAGTTGTGGTGGTTATTAGGGAGAAGGGTGAGTCTGAATTTCACGTTCACAGGGTCTCCTGTGTCAAGTGCACGGAAGATTAAACTTCCTGTCGTTGCAATGTCGCTTCGGTGGATCCGATTTCATCAACCACTCTTTCCTTCTTTTTAAGTTAGAAAAATTCACGCTTCAGAAGAAAGGACAGTAATAGAATAAAAATTTCATCTACGAAATGAACAATGTTCGTTGACTATTTCGATTAAGGCTACATCCTCCTACGTATACTGTGAATTCAGAAATTCGATCGAATAAAATCCGAAATTTTTTAAAAAACCACGTTACCTCTTTCTCTAATAATTCAACAATCTTTATTAACAATTTTCCAAATAAACTGTACTTTTTAACACTTCTTTGAAAAAATATTTTTACTCGCAATATCCATACGTATATATATGTATATAAAAGTACATACACATATAGTATATACTTTGTAAAAAGAACGGGGTGAGAATAAAAGGCCTCAGTCTATGATGTTGGCCGCAGGGTATGTACTAGGCAGGTAAAAAAGCATTCTCTTTCTGTCTGCGGATAAAAATAGGCTCCTCGAAAGCGACAAAAATGGAACAGAGTCGACTACTAGGGCTTTCTAAGTGAACGAGAAATTAAAGGGCCGCTGTTATTATAGTTCCGCGATATGACGATACTTATCATCTCACGAATACGTAAATAAATATTTACATATTTGCATTTCTGTGCATATATACAATTTTCTTTCAATTCTTTTTCTCTCTTCTCTTTTTAAACCATATATGGAATACATATTTACATATATACACGTATAAAAACATTAAAATTATATGTGTGAATGGATGCTTGTGATACTTAACACGCGCACGAAATGTGTGCACATACTTCAACGTTATTAATCACTTGCATAACGATTACTTTCGACTCACTGTGTTTGACCCAGTTCAATTTTCTCTTTCATGCAAACATTTAAGTTCTTTTTTTTTTGTAATATGCATAAAAAAATACTTTAAAGCAGGGTTGCTCAACTCACGACTCGTAGGCCGCATGCAACCAAGTATAAAATCGAAAATTTTTCTTAAAACTTATATTGTACGTTATTTATTAACATTTTTCCTTAACCACTATCGTCGGAATTTTTGTTCTCAAACGTGACCCAAGGAAATTAAAAGGTTGGACACTCCTTTAGAGTCTAATAAAAGTATAAACTATATTGTTTAACTTTTCAAATGCTTCAGCTGCAATCGAAAGAGTTTGTTGGCTGGAATAAATATTATCGTCTCGACGCAAACGGTTCAAATCCGTTCATTATATCGAAAATAATGTTTACTATGATACAATAGAAATTCTATGACAAAAAATGAAGTAATTCAGAGTTAAGCTAAATACGGTCCAGACATAAAATAACAGTAATGATAAATCCCATTCGTCTCTTCTTTCTCTCCTCCTGAATTCTTTCAGAAAACAAACAATAACTAAAGTAAATGAAAAAAAAAAAAAGAAAAAAAGTAATAAAGTACAAGAGAAACTAATCCTTCTTTCATGAAATTTCATCATGCGTAATAAACTCGCATGGGAAAAAATTTGTTGAGCGTTGCTCGTATGTCTAAAGGAAAAAAGGCGGGGGGTAAAAAGAAACAAAACAAACTAGAAAAAAAAAAGATCTGAGAAATCCGCTTATCACGTAGGGGCACGCAAGTCGATGGGAGAAAAAAAAGATCTTCGAAAGCTTCTCTTCTTTTCCTCGTTCACTCCTACTTTTCCACCCCCCTATTTCTCTCATTCACTCGTTTGTATAGAACTACTACAACCACATTTATGCAGTTGATCCCAATTGTGCGGTCATGATCTGCATTTCTCGTTTCATCAATTCGATGAGGAGAAAAAGAGAGAGGGAAAGACCCTTTGAAGGGGACACTTTTCATTAGCATGCAGGACGAGATTAAGGGACGAAGAAAACGTTAGAATACTGCACGCGACTAACATAAGATTAGAATGAGGGGTTGCACGGACACTTGCTTTCGAGTAAAAGTAGCTATTTAGTTAGAGATTTATCGTCAATCGTGTGAAGATTTTTAATAGTTTGCACATCTTCCTTAAATGAATCTAACAAGATATGATAAAAAGGTAAAAATCAAAAGTAACAATAAGAAAAACTAATCAATGTATCTGACTTGTTCTCCCTTTCTTTTTATCTATCTATTATAATAAAATTGGAATAAGGAAAAAAGACAATAGATACTCGAAAGAAAAACGAATGTAACATAAGTCCATGCATGAATCTCAATGAACGCATCGAAAGGGTGGACTGCAAAGGTCACGTCGTTGCGACCCCGTATGATTATATAGGCTGAGAAAATTGACGGGTTTTTCACGCGGCAGGATGGTAAAATGAGAAAGATAGAAAGAATGAGAATGAACATGGGATGAAAACTAGGGGCTAGAAGATGCACCAGCTAATATAAACATTATACCATTGGGACGGATTTACATCAGCAGGAGGCTTTTACGAGAGGGTCTAACGCGTTCTATATTATCAATGGAAAAATCATCGTATATTATATAGCGTACATGTAACTCATACATACACTATCATAACTTTTGACTAACATAGATGCCATATGTGAACATTGAACAGTTATGGAATTGGATCGATACTAGTTATACACTTATTTTATTTTCGAATGATATTTCCAATAAATCAAGTTACGAATCAATTTTTCCGGTTAATAAATGAATATAATCGATATGTTAATGAGTTAAAATTTATTTGCTTTCAGAATTACGACACCTTCGAACACACAAACGTTAACATCTTCTGGACGTATCAACGGTGCTATTGAAAAACTTTCGGTAGAAATGGCACTTTCGGTTCTTATCATTCTGGCCCACTTTTCTGCAGAAACGGCGAGATCGTTATCCTTTGGAATCTCCTCGATGTCAACCGGTGTTTTGGGTGCTGCATATACAGCTGCATCTCTCGTTTCGGTAAATAACATTTCTTTCTTTTTTTTTCCTGTAATACGAGTAAGATATTATCGATAACAAGTATATATTTCATAAATGGTAAAGATAAATTGTTCAAATTCATATGTATATATATAAGGGTTGCTGAAAATCATCTATCCCTAGTGTATGATGCACTAGGCTCATGCATATTCAAAAGTTCAGTGAATACGTCAGTGAATTTTTGTATAATTAGCTCTACCGTAAAGTGAGTTAAAATACTGACAAATAATTATTTATATTGAACAAAATATTCATGTATACTGTCAATTTGCCTTGCAATATACTGACGTGAAATATTTCAAAATATTGATCGAGTAAATAAAAGTGGAAAAAGGAAATAACTTGGGAAATATTGTAAAGTGAGTCGCGTGGATGCAGCAACGGTTCTGAAAATAGGACATTCTTTCTCTGTTCCTTCCGTAACCAGTCTATCCAAAATTTCTCTTCCAACGTCTTTCGAATCGGAACGAAACGTCCGCGTCTGTGGATAACACCTGCCGTGACTGTTACAGGAGTAACAGAGAAAGACGGGGAGAACTTGATCTCGGTCCCACCTGCTTCGGAACGAGTGTACAATGAACCTCGATCCAAGGAATACCGAAACTACCGTGCACATATTAAATACCAACCCTCGGGTTAAAAGAAAGAGAAAGAAAATGGTGTTACATTTCAAAGCTTCCGATCTGCTTGTTTTTTAACTGAAAATTTACTGAAATGCATTTTTAACCCAATGCAAGCCAGACATTTTATTACTAATACATACAATTTAATAATCAAATATATTTTTTTTTAATTAAATATTTCCAAGTTATTTCTTTCTTATTTTAACCAATGATTCTTATTACTACAACAACAAATGAAATAGTTAACTATTTTTAATTCAGTACCACTTGAAATGAATACTTTCCAATTTATATTTCAAAAGATATCATCCGTAATATCTTAATAACTTTCATTACCTTTTCCATTTTAATTACAGAGTCCTTTTGTGAATCCAGCCCGTGCTTTGGGACCTGCTTTTGTAATGAATCGTTGGGAGTATCACTGGGTTTATTGGATCGGTCCGATGTTAGGTAGTGTCTTAGCAACGTTGTTTTACGAATTCGTTCTTAGTACCAAAAGATCGAAAGAGTCTCGTGAAATAGATGACGGTGATAATTCTTCGATGAGATCGGACGAAGATCCTTACGATGATTTAGACAAACCAAGTGGACCAAAATTTCCAGGAGCTTATGCTACTTATCGTCCAGTTGCTGGTGCATCATCTTCAATCTACAGTGCACCACCTTCAGCATTGGAACGCGTCGAATCGATCTACGGTGGCACCAAGTCACTCTATTGCAAATCCCCACCTCTGACAAGAGCGAATCTGAATCGTTCGCAGAGCGTTTACGCTAAATCAACTTCCGGTCCACGAGACGGTTTGATGATACCCAAGCCTGGTCCACTTGTACCAGCTCAAAGTCTTTATCCAATGAGAATAGGACAATCCTCGTCTCAAAATCCAGCGAGAGATAATCAACAACCAGCAGCCGGTCCTAATCAATCATCCCAAAATCATAATAGTACCAATCAAAACATGCAGAATCAATTGCAACAATGTACGCAGAGTATCTATGGCATAAGAGGAATATCGACGAGTCTGAGTACGCGGGAGAATGGAATTTATGGTATGTCTACAGGATCTAGTATATATGCTAGAACTCCTGCACCACCACCGAGTAGCCAAAGCTCTCATCAATCTGGACAGAGTGGTCAATCCTCTACTCAAGGCCATCAACAACAGCAACAGCAACAACAACAGCAGCAACAACAGCAACAACAACAACAACAACAACAATCCCAGCAACCGCAACAACATCCTAATGGCACGCTTTCAACCAATTCTGATAATGCGACTAACTCTAGGAGACCGGAAAGTATGTACGGTCATGTATCAAGACGTAGCGATGACTCAGCTTATGGTAGTTATCAAGGTTCGACCAGAGGAAATTATGGTAAAGTTCCTGGCCCATCTGGACCATCTAGTGGACCACCTGGACCACCCCAGTATCGTGATCAAGGTAGACCCAGTCCTGCAGGACCTCTTCAGCAAAGTCAGAATCAACAAACTAACTTCCAAAGGAATTCGCCTAATCCTCTTTATTGATCTTCCATAACCGCTAGCATTTCTGTACCGGATCAAGCCTATTGGAATTTACGAGCTGAACGTGCCATTTTATAGCATGCACGTATTCACTCACTTACAAATATGAAAAATAGGTCCGTACGGTTTATGTGATAGCGTTACTGATCGTCGATTATTCAAGAACATTCTTTACAATTTGTTTATGTTAAAATTAATAATCGATCTATTGATTACGAATGATCATAGAATCTTACTATGTTTTAATTAGAAATTTGTGTATATAGAATGCGATTATATTCGATTTTCTATTCCGAGTTTTCTGTACAATTGTCCTGCTTTACCAGAATATTAAAGTCAACATTTTACTGATATAAATTTACGATAATAATTTTTTATTAAAATCTTCGATGAAAAATTCAAGGAACATATTTTGTTCAACATACATATAACAATATCTATTGAATACGTAATATGTGTAAATATTTCTCAATTAATTCGTTAATATCGTAATTATTTAAAAACGTAACAATGAAAAATATTACATTACGAAGTTTCATGCGGTGTGAATGAAAAAATGTTGATACTATTCATGAAAAAATAGAACTCATTTCAAAATGTTACATAATCGTAGATATCTATCAGATTTCTGTCGCGACTGTATGTCGTTCATATCAATTTTTAGAGCAACTAATGTTTATGTGTAAATATAATTATATTAAGTTAACTTGAAGTATAAATAAGAACGATTTTAATCAATCCTAATCTAAACAATGAATCGTCATATTAAGACTGATTTTTCAAATATTTCTTACGCATTTCGTGAAAGAAAGAAAGAAGAATCTTTATAAGTGAAATACGAATGAACGGACTCGAATAAAAAATGTAAAAACGAAAAACACAAACCTAATAACAAATATTATATAAGAATAAATAGATTAATCGTCATGAATTTTTACTATTAATCATAAGTAGCCAACTTTTTTACTATTACCATCGATAAATATTATACATGATAAGTTACGTTATTTTAATTGCGTTGATTACCTTTGCGAAGTTATTACGATAATTGTACATATATGTCATTTGTATTTATTATTTTTTATGTACCTAGGTATATATATACATACTTTAAAACATTGTTACATAATTATGTGTACGTATTTACGCATAATATATCAAAAAATGACAATAAATTAGCTGCAAACAAATATATGTTATTTATCATTTTAAAAAATCAACTAAAAGTAGTCAACCATATATTTTCACTGGGGATAAATATGACAAACTTTTCAGATTCCTGATAAAAATATTTCTTAATAGATATAATGGATTTTGGAAATACCTATCATTAGTCTATCTGTATGTAAAATACATTGTTTATCACGTTCTCGATGATAAGTAAATAATAGCGTTACCAAATCGAAAGAAAAAAAGGAATGGGGGGTAGGTATATAATAAAATTTGTATATGGCGCCAGTTGCATACAAGGCCATCTAGAATTATACAAAACGAGCGTTGATTGGAATGCGCCAACGAGATTCCACTATCGACCAATCACGTGTAAGCTTAAAACTGTTTCCACCACGGTAACACAAGTTGATCGTATTCAAAATTATCGGGATACATTTCTTTCCTATCCCTTTTTTTAAATTCTAATATCAAAAAGTTAATAGTAAATTCGAATAATTCGTATTGATAAAAAATAAACTTTCTAATAAATATAAAAATGATAATAAAATAAAAAACGCTTGATGAACTTTCGTATATTAAAATAAAACCTAAAGTCTTCTTTCTATGATGAAATAAAATTCTTGGAAGTTTTGGAAATCAGCTGATGACGTAATACTAAACGGACGAGGGTAGGAGGGTGCCGGAAGAGACAAACTTGTTATTCATTGTGTAGGTGTGCATGCATTTCGTGACTCGCATTAGTGAGCGTGAAACAAAGTATGGCGTAGGATTGTGGCCTCGTTCATGATAGTACTTCGAGAATCTGGTTTTAAACGTACGGACGTGCAATTGAATAGAGCTATATTTTGGAAGTTAACGAAATAGCATAGACCTTGTGAAGTTATCTCAATCAAGGATAAATCGTTTAATCGATCAATTAAACGATCGCGTTTCAAATTTCACGTATTTTTAAGAAGAACGATAAAAAAGACGACGTCGTGTCGGATCGTGCAGCAGGATGAGCGTCGATGCTTATGGGCCAAGTAGCCAAACTCTAACGTTCCTTGATACCGAGGAAGCTGATTTAATAGGTGCCGATACTCAAGGAAGTGAATTTGATTTCACGGACTTTACTTTACCATCGCCAAGCCAGACACAGGCTTCGCAACATGATGCGGTTCAAAGTCAACCGAGTCAGCCAATGCAGGTTGGTTTTTTTAACTATATCATGCACGTGTTCTTAGTTTATCTTTGGATAGTTTATTTATTAAACTATTATCTAAACAATCTTACATAAATATGTTTTCTGTAGAGAACCATGCGGTGAAGACATAACCTCTCATTCTTGATTTACGGGTAAAACATTGTATATGCCATGAACAAACGTGGCGATATGATACTTATATCATTCTACTTTCCAAACAATCATTCGATTATCGTTTCATTATCTTTCTGTCCTTAAGAAAATTATTTTATTCGTTCTAATATCCTTTTTTTTCTATTTTTATTGTCCTATTTTCCCCGGCGATATGACCTTGAACATTATTATAAACTTTTCATTTACATTTTTCGTTATTACAATTTGATCATTGATTTAATAGTTACGAAAGAAATGTTTCTTTTTTTCTTTAATGCAATTGCAATCCTATGAAATTGAACCTTATGGAGAATTTGCTTAGAAGAATATTGCTTTGCGTAGATATATGAAACTTTTCTATACATATATGTTATAGCATTATTCAATTTCTTCAAATTTTATATTATTTCCTTTCTTCTTGTAATATGTTTATATTTTTATGATGTGTATTAAAGTTGTATTCAGTATTTGTTTGATCAACAAGGTTACATTTAAAAAGTAGAAGTATTCGTTATATTAAAACAGAAAGTTAGTGCGCTATATGAAATATATTATATTATAATGCCATAATGCAAAATTTACAGAGATGTTTGTTTTGATATAGGTTAATGGAACAGGCGGTAGTTCATCATTGGACTTAAAAATTACTGGAGCTGCTCAAAGTCTTGCTGACTTACAATTTGAAGAAGAAGAAGAAGAGGCATATTATAATCGCGATTTACCAGAACATGCATGCAAATACTGTGGTATTCACGAAGCCTCATGCGTTGTAATGTGCAATGTATGTCGTAAATGGTTCTGCAATGGAAGAGGTAATACATCTGGTTCTCATATTATCAATCATCTTGTTCGAGCAAAACATAAAGAAGTTACATTGCACAGGTATTTACAACTCTATATTGTTCTTACTCAAAATGCCTTTATTTCATTTATTTGATTATTAATTTATACATTTAATTACTATCTTAGAGATGGACCATTGGGAGAAACTGTGTTAGAATGTTATTCTTGTGCAGTTAGAAATGTGTTTGTTCTTGGTTTTATACCAGCTAAAGCAGATTCAGTTGTCGTACTACTATGTCGACAACCTTGTGCAGCTCAGAGCTCTCTAAAAGATATGAATTGGTATGTAAAATGATTTCAAATATGAAGCAACATGTACTGAATAAATATTGATTAATGCATCTTAATATATTACAATCAGGGATCAAGAACAGTGGAAACCTTTGATTGAAGATCGTAGTTTCTTAGCATGGCTTGTAAAAATACCGTCTGAACAAGAACAACTAAGAGCCAGACAAATCTCTGCTCAGCAGATTAATAAATTGGAAGAATTGTGGCGAGACAATGTTGACGCGACTTTTCAAGACCTTGAGAAGCCTGGTGTAGATGAAGAACCGCAGCAAGTCTTGCTACGTTACGAAGATGGATATCAATATCAGAATATTTTTGGTCCGCTCGTTAAGCTGGAAGCTGATTACGACAAACGTTTAAAGGAATCCCAAACTCAAGAAAATATTGAAGTACGATGGGATGTTGGTTTGAACAAAAAGACAATAGCATACTTCATGTTAGCTAAGACTGATGGTGATATGAAATTAATGCATGGAGATGAATTAAGACTTCGTTATTTGGGAGAACTTCATAAACCATGGTCTGGTATTGGACATGTTATCAAAATTCCTGACAACTATGGAGAGGAAGTTGGTATAGAGTTGAAAAATAACGCAGGTGCTCCTACAGAGTGCATGAGTAATTTTGTTGTTGATTTCATTTGGAAAAGTACAAGCTTTGATCGGTGAGAATATCTTTTAATTTTATCCTTCATATAATTTCACATAGAACTGATAATTATAATAGTATACATTTTTTTCTTTTTCACAGGATGCAACTAGCATTACGAAAATTTGCTGTTGATGACACATCTGTATCAGCTTATATATATCATAGATTGTTGGGTCATGAAGTAGAAGAAGTTCTATTTCGTTGTCATCTCCCAAAACATTTTAGTGCTCCTAACTTACCAGATTTAAATCGATCTCAAGTATATGCTGTAAAGCATGCTGTACAAAGACCCTTGTCTTTGATCCAAGGTCCACCGGGTACAGGAAAAACTGTAACTAGCGCTACGATAGTTTATCAACTAGTAAAACAAAATGGAGGTCCAGTACTTGTCTGTGCACCATCTAACACTGCAGTTGATCAACTTACCGAGAAGGTACATAAATCTAATTTAAAAGTTGTACGTCTTTGTGCAAAATCACGAGAAGCTATTGATTCCCCTGTGAGTTTCCTCGCATTGCACAATCAAATCAAAAATATGGAAACAAATACAGAATTACAAAAGTTACAACAATTAAAAGATGAAACTGGTGAATTGTCAAGCGTCGATGAAAAACGTTATAGACTACTAAAGAAAGCTGCAGAAAAGGAATTGTTAGAGGCAGCTGATGTAATATGTTGCACTTGCGTTGGTGCAGGTGATCCAAGATTGCACAGATTGAAATTCCACTCTATACTTATAGACGAAAGCATGCAAGCAACGGAACCAGAATGTATGGTACCTGTTGTTCTTGGAGCTAAGCAATTAATTCTTGTTGGAGATCATTGTCAATTAGGACCTGTTGTTATGTGCAAGAAAGCTGCAAGAGCAGGATTGTCTCAATCGCTATTTGAAAGACTGGTTGTCCTTGGCATTAGGCCTTTCCGACTTGAAGTGCAATATCGTATGCATCCAGATCTTTCACGATTTCCGTCTAATTTCTTTTATGAAGGCTCTCTTCAAAATGGAGTATGTGCGGATGAAAGAAAATTATTGAAAATTGATTTTCCTTGGCCTGCTCCTGACAAGCCAATGTTCTTCTATGTAACACAAGGCCAAGAAGAAATAGCCGGCAGTGGTACATCTTACTTGAACCGTACTGAAGCATCTAATGTAGAAAAGATAACTACAAGATTCTTACGTTGTGGTGTAAAGCCAGAACAAATAGGTGTAATAACACCTTATGAAGGACAAAGAGCATACTTAGTGCAATACATGCAATATCAAGGTTCGCTTCACTCCAAATTATATCAAGAAATAGAAGTTGCAAGTGTCGATGCTTTTCAAGGACGTGAAAAAGATATTATAATTATGTCTTGCGTAAGATCTAATGAGCATCAAGGTATTGGATTTTTAAATGATCCTAGAAGATTAAACGTTGCATTGACTCGTGCAAAATACGGTATCATCATCGTAGGAAATCCAAAAGTACTTTCAAAACAACCACTGTGGAATCATTTGCTGAGTTTTTACAAGGAGCAGAAGGTTCTTGTAGAAGGGCCATTGAATAATTTGAAAGAATCAATGATACAATTTGCTAAACCAAAAAAGCTTGTTAATGCTGCTAATCCAGGATCACACTTTATGACTACGTCAATGTACGATGCTAGAGAAGTTTTAATTCCTGGTTCAGTATACGATCGTTCCGGTAGTCAAGTTAACGGAAATCAAAGTCACAATCCGTATTATCAGAGAAATGTGCCATTGGATATATTCAGTAGAACACACGACACGATAAGTTATATAAGCCCAGAAAGAGCGCAAAGTGCTTTGAATAATGTACCCGTACCAGTTGGTATGTTTATGAATATGGCACACGTACCTCCACGTTTCTACAATCAACACCAACAAGCTTTACAAGCAAGACAAAATCAACGTAATAAACGTGGTACAGCTACATCTAAGAACAAATCGAACACACGTATGGGTAAGCTAAGTCAAACTGAACAAAACACACAACCATATAGCCAACCAGGATTACCATTGACGCAAGGTACAACTCAGGGTATGTCTCAACCAGGATTCAGTCTATCTCAGCCTGGTTTAAGTCAAGCCGAACTTTCTCAAGATTCATTCGCAGTAGGAGAATTTCAATCACAAATGGACGGTCTATTGTCCCAAGATTCTACTTATCAAGGCGATAGAAGTGGTTTTTATCAATCTGGTCAATCACAAGCCGGGGGACAATTCTCCCAGCCATACTGAGCCAAAACCTGGCTGAGCAACGCAATTGCCATGCAGCGTCGCGGGAGCGACTGAAGGCTCGTTTGACCAATTCTTCTTCGACCAACAACCACAAATCACTAACTGCGCAAAACGGTAAAACGGCTCGGCGAACGAGTATGGTATATGCATGGAGTCGTCAGCGTAAAAGTGGGTTTAATGGAGAAAATCTGTCGCTGTCATCGTCGTCGTCGTCGTCGTCGTCTTCGTCTCTTTGTCTTCACCGTCGTCGTCGTCGTTAACGATTACTGCTTGTTGAAAGATGGAAATGAATAATAATCGATGGTTATAATATAGTGCGACAAGAAAGAATAGGTAACATCTATGAAACTGGGAGACGACAAAGGAATATTACCAATATCACCGTGACACGCGTTTACCGTGAACGGACCGTTTTATCGCGGGGATCGAGTGACGCGCTAGAATTAAAAAGTCAAAAAAATAAATAAATAAATAAAATAAATAACAAAAAAAAGGATAAATAAATAACACAAAAAAAGATAAGTAACCAAACAAAATACGGGAGAATAAAAACATGGGACGAGTAAAAGCTTCATGATATGATTAAATTCGAAGAATGTGTGCCAATGTAAGTAAAAATAACATCGATAAATAATGATGAATATTCATGGAAATAACGGAACTAACATTGTCCGAGTATATCGAATCATCAAATATGGATAAAAAAGCACGAAAGAAAATAAAAAGAAATTTTTTTTAAAATATCATCATGAAAAATCCACAGCAACCGGCGGAGCTAACAACTATCCTGCAAGTACTACAAGCTTTTAATATATTCAGTTCTTTCAATTTTCATATTGATATATGAGTGCACGTATAATACACAAGAGAACACGCATATATAAATATTCCTGCATAGAGTAGACATACGGGACAATAGCTAAGAGATCAGGATAAAAAAGACAAAAAAAGAAATAAATATCAAGAACCCTCGAGTATAACAAGATGCTTGTAAAATTATTTCCAACGGAAAGAAGATACGAAGCTCAATTTATCTGGCTTTACTGGTGAGCTGTGAACGAGATTAGGGATTTGTTATTATCAAATGGAAAACGTATGGCACGTAACAACTATCACCATCGTCAAATTCTCTGAATATCTGTATCAGCCAAAATTATTGATTTAATCATCATTGAAGAGCATGAGGCCAACACTTCTACATCATCACGAATGAATTTCATCCATTTTCACAAACTCAACGTGACATAAAAAATATTATGCTAACTGCAAGAAATTCTAATTGCAATCGTATCTATGTCTTTAATTTTCTGTTATTTCAATAACATTTATTTACTGCAGGGGTCACAGATTATTTATATATATATATATATATGTGTATTGTTATATATATATTATAACATATATATATATATAGACAGATATCGTGTATGTATGTATATGTAGTATGTATATATATATAATGCATACGATATCTTTTTTCTTTAAATTTTAATTTTTTTTGTCTTTATAATAATAAAACATACAAGATGTTATGGCGTAGTATTCATTTCATAAATGCATCTTAGCATGTATTATATTATATATTATTTGTAATTTCTATTAGCGCTTTACTTAATGAGTAATTAAACAAGCAAAAGCAACTTAATAAATAATCATATAAAGAGGGTTATAGAAAATTTTTAATATTACTTTTCTTAATCGTAATATACGAACATACACGTTCATCATTTAGAATTCTAGATTACTTTATTTGTTATATTTTAATCGATATTCAATATATTCCATTGTAATTGGTCATCTATTTTTTGTCTCTTTCTCTTTCTCTCTCTTTCTCTCTCTCTCTCTGTCTCTCTTTTTCTTCTGAGCCCCTGCTTTTCTCTTTCTCTATTATCTATCTATGCTCTAACTTCTGACGGTAATTAATTTGTTATATCGCAATAAGAAATAATCTGTATTATGCATTACAAAATTAATATTTTTATTTTTCTCTCCGACCAACAGCGCACTGCTAATCGCAAATTATAATATGAAAATTCATTATAAACTTTTATGGTAAAAATAAATTTGATTTGAAAATATACTTTGTCATTTTCTTTCTTTAAATTATTATTATTATTATTATTATTATTAATAACTTATCCATTTCTCAAATTAGAGATTTTTTCTTCTTTTCTAAAATTATAAAACTTTGGAATTTTAATGCAAAGCTAGAAGAAATCTAATTAAATAACTTATACAAATAATATACGTAGATTGCTTTTATTTAACAAGAAAATGAAGATTACAGAAATTTAATTTTTTATTTGTATTTTAGAAATTTGCTACTACTTACTGATGACATACTACATGAAATTTGAAAAAAATACTTTTTTTTTGCATATGTTTGATGAATGAGAACTATTTATAATTTAAAATAATAATTATATTCCAAATGTTTTTTGTTTACATATT